TACTTATTTAGTATAGTGTAGATATATCACTGGTGTGGATGGATTGTACTGAAATAGCATGTTGTTGGTATGTGATCAGTACTATGTATGTAAAGTCTTTACTTACAGCTAGTGTCATAGTGTATAGTAAGATCCGTGCTGGCTGTGTATTTATTTAGAAAAGGTAGATATATCACAAGTGTGGATGGTCTGTACTGATAGTTGGTATCATATTGATGGTATGTTTAATTAGGATAGTCAGTTCAGTATGAAGTAGGATAATGGATTGACATATGAATTATGCTATAACGATTGTGTATATTAAGCATATATGACTTTATTTCTAAAGTATTTCATAGTTAAATAGATTTATTAATCTGTCATATCAAAAAACATTTTTATTAAACCCCAAGATCCACTGTTTATCATAGTCAATGTGGCTATTCACTTGAATTATATTATTGTCACTGTAGAAGATCGTTTAACTGAAGGTGCCTCTTCATCAAAGAATCCAGCAGTTTCAAGAGAAACAGAATTGAGAAACATGCTTTTTCATATTGCCAAGGAATTGGGGGAAGGTAAATTAATAACTACATTTACTTATCAACATGCTATTTTCTGATATCTTTTAATTTTAAATACCGTACTTCCCCGAGTATAAGCCCAGAGGCCTGAACATGTAAAATCGGAAAAAAATAAGGGGTGGGCTTATACTCGAGGACCACTTAAGAAAAAATAATTTGTTGGTGCGTTTAAAACTGTAACCATCTTCCCAGCTTCGAAACATTATCCAAATTACATCTTTCGTTCACAGCGCTGGTCTCGAGGCAATATTACGTCTTTTTGAGAAAACAAAAATGCAGAACGAGCCGTCATTGATTTCAACAACGCCTTTTACAATGAAGAAGCAACAAAAATTTTATTAGAATACGGTTCACATACCGTCTGAATTTACGATGCAAAAATGGGTAGGGTCTGTGGGGAAAGCGGTCGAAGGCAAGATCGTAGCAAACTCTCGATACAAAGCTATTTCCGCCATGGTTTCATCATAATTTGACCTGAACAACTTCCTTTGACCTAACAGGTCACGTCTTTCGTTAACAAATGAAAATGCTCTGTCATACAGTCGAAGTTTTCCAATTATTGACGAAGTGTTTTTATCAACGTAATGCGGAAGTGTATTACCTCGATGTTAAAATGCGATCTGTTAACACTGATTTCGACAAAAAAAATGGCGACTTTTTTCCCTAAAAGCTGTTGATTCGCAATTTTCGAAAGGTAGACTGAGAGTGAGGGAAGTATTTAAACCTTTCACGGCCGCCAACAAGTCATGTCGAAGAATAGTTTTTTTCTTTCACACCTCATTCATGATAGTCTCAATGGACAAGATTATTCGGAAAAGTAAAACGATGATACCGGTAGTGACGAGGTTTCATGACTTGACGATCACATTTTTGTTGTTTGGAAAACTACTACTCAAAAAGAAATATGGATTATTTCAGTATTGCAACATCGGGGTTGATCCAGAGTAAATAACAGAATAGAAAACGTGCGAACTGTGTACGTTCACCTGTCATGCACTTTGAAATTAATGCGAGTTTTCTCGTAAAAGCTGGAACCAAACTACCGTACCAATCATGATTTTTATGCAATGAAATGCATATTTTACATGCATATTTTAATTAATGTCGTCGACGCCCAGTAAAAACACCCTGGGTCTATACTCAGGGATGCCCTCAACTTCTTAATGTCCAAAAACAGAGGGGTGGGCTTATACTCGGGGAAGTATGGTAATTTCATGTTACTAATATAAAACATCATTCACATTTTATATAAAGTATATTTAATTTAGTCATTTTATATATTACCGGTACCAGATTGAGGGAATCAACATTGAAATTTACCATGCTTATATTGACTTGTGTCACTTTTTACAGATGACTTTAAATCATTGAAAGAGCAATGTGATGTTTATCAGCTAATACCAAAGGGGGATTTAGAGAAAAAGACAGGTGCATATAAAGTGTTTGAATCTTTGCGTGAACAATCCAAAATCAGCATTGACAACACAAAGTTGTTAGAACAATTATTAAGGAATATAATGAGGAATGATCTGGTGGAGAGATTTGTATCGCCATTTACATCAATGAAACAGTAAAGGTAAATATTGTCTGAAATTAGAATATTAGGTATTATTTTATTTTATTAAATCAATTACCCCATTGATCACTGATTTATATTTGTTTCTAGTTTTCAGATTTATAGAAGTGAACCAACTCATTGTGAAAGATGTGACTGGAGCCAAATTATCTCTTGTTGATTTATATGGTTATTACCAAACAAAGACTGAAGATCTGTTTCGATCGTTGAGAGCTAGAGCCGCAAACTTCATCACTTGATGGTTCTTGGTCCAGTGAGTAGATAATTACATCCAGCCAGTTTCCTGTCCATCTACAGTGATGTAAAATATAATGACAGATGTTGATTTATTACAAAACAAAATCAAACCACTGTGATTGCATGATGCTGTGGCCTCAGGTCAGTGTCATGGCAACCTGTAATTTCAAGTTAAAAGCAGGCAGGTCAGTCCTTATGTATTAGCATACCTGAGAGTGAATGAATTTACATGTATTTTAAATGACTTCTTTAAAATTTTATATGCAAAAATCTTGGATCTGATTATTTGTTTTCATTTTGTGTCAACAAGTTTTATTTTCTACTTTCAGTAAATATTTTGCTTGGTGAAAAATGATATTTTCAACTGTCTAACTATAGTTAGGAACTTTTATTATTTTATGAGAACTTTTATACTATTCATTTTATTTTATTCTGTAAGGGACAATGAGATTAATACAGTACATGTAGTATTACTGTAAAATGACTAATTTTCACTGGGTTTAAATTTTGCTGATTAACCATTTCAGGCATATTCATTGGGTTTTAAATTCACGGTTTTATCATTTAGATAATGTGTTCTATGCTAAATTTTACATATTCACTGGGTTTTAATTTAGCGCATTTTCCAGTCAGCAAAATAAGCAAAATTAAAACACAGTGAATAATTAACCCCTTTACAGTAATTGAGGAATAAAATGGCTAGTAGTTTTCTTGCCAAATTTTGCTTAGATATGTTGCTGTACTATTATTTTTGTGGAACTTTTATACAATTCATGTTATTTTATTCTATAAGGAACAATGAGATTAATACAGTACATGTAGTATTATTTGAGAAACTTGAACATTAATTTTTAGCTCTGCTGTTGACTTTGTCGAGCAGAGCTTATTATACGAGTGATTGTTCTTTGCATCAACTTTTTACCTTTTCAACTTCTTCTTGAAAACTACAATTCTTGTTGCTTTGGTACTCGATGTACCGGTATATGTATCTTGGTTAGACCTCTCTTAGATTTGTTCATTTTGTGATATCTTTAATTCTCTAATTTTTATGAATATTTTTGTCATTTTTGGTGTAAAGTGCTATTTTTGACTTCTTGTTAAAAACCGCAAGTCCAATTGCTTTGATACTATACATATAGGCACCACAGGTAGACCTGTTTCAGAGTTGTTCATTTTCTAATGATATCTTCAGTTTTTTAATTGAAACGTGCATAGCTAACAGCTTCAAAACATTGGAGAAAAAAAACTCGTAAATAGGGGCTATTTTTATTAAAACTAAAATACAGTGACATTTCACAATATACAAAGTGTTTAAAATGATTGAATAAAAAGCAAGCATAGATATTTTTTGATAATTAAACTAAACGATTGCCACACCATCACAAAAGATTGATACATTTTTTTTAAGCTATGTCTTTACACAAATATTTTTTCTTTTCTAAATAGCTCACCTGTTACATAAATGTATTGATACTGTGAGATACTCTATTTTTGCTTGGAATTAATTTTGTCTATTTTTACTGAAGGGATGATTCAGTGAAAATAAAATCCAGCAAATATACCTTTTTTCTTATATTTTAACTCAACTCACCAAAAATCAGTGAAAATAAATTCCATACAAAATACCCAAGAAGTCTTTTCAGTGAAAATTTATTTCAGTGAAAGTAGTCTGTTCCTAAAAGTTGTTACAATTTTGCACAATATAAATTTAATGGGACTAGGAAGTGATTTTTGATTACTGCGTAGTCAATTATTTCTGTATTTTTATTGAAATATAGCCTGGTGTAAGTACATTTATATCTGAATTAAAAAAAAGTACTGTAATGATATTGCACACTATTTATTGTGGACAATGTTTCTATTTATCATCTATTTTCATTCTAGTACGCTGACAGGGAGGTCTGTGTGA